AGAAGCCAAACAGAGATGTATCTGCTTCCCAGGGAAAGCTGAGCTTCCCATGGAAATGTCAGTGCTCAAGTGGAATCCTGGGAAGCTGTTCCAGGCCAGGCTGGAAAAGGCTTGGAGAAACTTGGGATAGTGGAAGGTGTCACTATCCTTGGCAAGTGCTGGGACTGGATGGACTTTACAGTCCCTTCCCATCCAAACAATTCCATGATTCTATGAAATGAGAGGCTCTGGGGGACCTGAGAAGCCCATGGGATGGATTTTATCTGAGCAGCACCACAGCTCCTGCTGTATCCCCCTGGATATATTCCAACATCACCAGGAGCAGGATTTGGCCCTGACTATGAAACACAATCAAAAAAAAAAAAAAAGTGGGAGCTCCCAACTGCCTTTTCCAGCACATCCGTGGCTCAGGATGGCAGGATGGGGTCCTGTGTGGTGGTACAGCAAGGATAGGCAGGGAGACCATGACACATTCCCATTTTCTACAGGAATTCTTTTCCATTCACCCATCCTACACCATCAGCTTTATGGATGTGAAATAATCCCAGACAAATCCCAGTGCTCCTCGGATGAAAGCCAACCAAAAAGCAAATGAATCAGGGAGGAAAAGCACGGGACACACTGCCCCAACTCTGCTCCTGACAGCACCCACAATTCCAGCTGGGAAGCAGGATACAGGATCTCCCTGGAGCAGAGAAACCCAAGGACCATTAATTGGATTCTCCATGAGAAGTAGCACACAGCAGGGGCTGGAGGGGAATGAGGTGATCCCAAAAAAAACCTTGCCATACTTCCTTCATCCTCCACCTTGGAGCACCTTTCCATCATTCCCTTCCTATGCCTGGCTGGAGCATCTATTCCCAGCCTTACTTCCAGGCTCCTTGCCATGCAGGATCTGAGTTCATACTGTATTTCCTATGGATTTATCAGGATTTATGTACCAGCAAGCCAAGTTTTGGCCAGTAACAAAAGGGAAGAGCACAATTCAAGGAATCCAGGAGGCTGGAAAAGGTGGACACTGCAGAATTCCCAAAGGGAGGCAGCATGGATGTGCCCAGTCCAAGGGAAGGGTTTGGTATCCACCACATTGCCCCTGAGCACACGATGGGATGCTTGGGCCAGGAAGTGGATTCCATTATCCTTGTGTGTCCTTTCCAGGATATTCCATGATTCTCCACTGGAAAAAGCCTGGCACAAGGGAGAAGAGCCATTCTGGAATGCTGAGGGAATGCTGCCATCAAAGCTGATCCAGCTCAGCTACATCCAAATGAGGTCTCCATCTCTGACAGCAAGGTGTGATCCTCAGCCATGACATCCTGCAAAATTCCAGATGCATCCAGAAGGAAAGGACATAGCGAGGCATCACTTTATGCTTTTGATTCCCCCTAAGCTCCAGGTATCCTTCTGGGATCACTGCAAGGGAAAACTCCCTGGTCTGGGAATAAAAGAAAGGCAGATTTTCTCAGCTTTCTGGGATGTCTTTCCAAGTTCATTCAAAGGGTGAAAGTCATTGGCTGAGTGTTCCCAATTTTGGGAATCCCCACGTTGTGCTTGCTGGCAACACTAGAGGGCACAAGGCAGAGGGAGAAGAGCCAGTCCTGGAGCCATCCTGGCCTCACTGTCCTTGCATCCATAATCCCATGGAGAAGGCTGTCCAGGACAAACACCACCTCAAGATCCAGGCTGGAGCACAGCACAGCACCTTGGGATGTTAGTGCTCTCCTCCTTCCATCCCAGAGAGCAGGAACCACATCCTTTCTCCTCTCTGGAATAACTCTCCATTTGGTTTCATCAGCAATCCTAAAACCCGCCTTTCCTCTTCCTCAGAGCTTGTTGAAAAGGACACATCCAGCTCAGATCCATCCTTTCCTTCTCTGGAGAGGAACATCTACAACATCAGGCCATGAGAAGAACATCTCCCTGCCCAGTGCAGTGAACTGGGACACTCTGGGGTAGTCATGGGAACATCCCAGAGACTGAATTCCATCCCAGAGACGGAATTTTGTCTCGTTCCAGTTTATTCTGTGTCTCTTCCTCCTTAAAAACTGCTCCAACGTTCTCCCACCTGTAGATGTCCAGCAGAGGTATCCAGTACTCTACGATGGCATAGGGGATGTTCCCAAAAAACCTTCTGGGAAGCTTCAGGATCTCCACTTGTCCAAAACCAAGGACTTACCACAGAGTGACACCGCCACTGTCACTGCTCTGTGGGACCCTCCAGGTGCCACCAGCCTGGAGGAACCTCCATCCCAGCACCCACCCTTATCCCACCATCCCATTCCCGCTTACCCAGGTGCATAGGAGGCCTTGGGCTCTGATTTGATTGGAGGGACCACATTGTTCAGGCAGTGGCCACCCAGGAAGCCCTTGGGCACCACCATGCCATTGTTGTTGTTGCAGTTGAGGTGAGCTCCATAGGGATTGGCCAGGAGAGGACCATGCCGGATGGGGAGCTGGCTGCTGGCAGGAGGGAGGTGGAGGGGAGTGCTGGGAGAGGGATTGCTCACGCTGCTGATGGAGCTGGCAGGAGGTGCAGGGATGCTGGCAGAGCTGGAGGGCTGGGGGTGTGTGTAGCTGGTGGGAGCTGGGATCTCAGGGAAGCAGCTGAGGGAGAAAATGGGACAACATCAGAGGAACAGGTCAGTGGGACTGATGGAAGAGTCCAAAATCCACCCTGGAAGTTTTAGTGCCCAGGACACAGGATCTGCTCAGTGTGCTGCTCCAGCTTTACAGACCAGCTATGCCAAAGATCCCACTCCCACCCTGCTCCCAGATTCCCTTGGTGCTCTCCAGGTCTACTCTGTTCTCCTTTCCAAAGTTGGGGGCAACAGGGAGATCCTTCCCTTCTCCACACTCATGTAGTCCTGGGGATTTAATCTGAGCTCCCAGTGCTCAGATTAAGGAAAAGTGTTTATGGTGCCTTTGGGGGATAAAGAGAGGGAATAAAAAAGACTGGGAAAACTTGAAAGTAAGAAGCCAGGAAGAGACAGGAGAAAGGTCTGGGAATGATAAAGGAGCAAAGATCAGTCCAGGAAGACTCTGGAGGGGAAGAAACGATTCCTAAATGATTCCTCAAATTTCAGGGCTGGAAAGTGCTCAACAGGTTTCCAGAGAATCTGTGGCTGCCCCATCCCTGAAAGTGTTCCAGGCCAGGCTGGACAGGGCTTGGAGCAACCTGGGATAGTGGAAGGTGTCCTGCCCATGGCAGGGGTGGAACTGGATGAGCTTTAAGGTTCCATCCCACCCAAACCTTTCCAGGATTCTGTGATCTCTCCATGGAAAATCACAATGAACTCTGTTCCTGCTGTGGAGCAAGGGAAGCACTTACATCTCTGGAGAGTCTTCCTTGCTGATGTACTCTTCCAGGATGCTGGTGTCGATGTTGGATGGTTCCAGAGCTCCATTGATGTCGTGGCCTGGAGGGGAGAGGAGGTGGAAGCATGAGCTGGGAGAAGGACAGGAAAGAGCCTTGGAAACACCACCAGACCCTTGTGCAGTCAAGGAACTGATCTGAGAATCACGGAATGGGCTGAATGGGACCTTAAAGATCATCTCATTCCAACTCCCTGCCATGGATAGGGATGACTCACTAGATCAGCAGATCCCTGGGGACTGCCAGCTGTCCATACCCTCTGTATCCTGCTGTAAAGCCTCATCCCAGGATTCAGGGCACGTGGGACAAGCCAGGGCGGGGACACAGACACAGACATTGGGACCGGATCCTTTGGGATCCCTTCCAACTCAGGACGTTTTATGATTCCCTTTGGACACCAAGGAATTTCTCCACCACAACTCTGGATCAGCTCCCGACCTTCCTCCGTCCCCTCTGCTCCACGGGCCCGCAGTGGATTTCCCTGTCCTTTCTCTGAAGGGCTCCTCCCCCCTTCCCTGCCCTGTTCCAGGGAAGCTGGGCAGGGTTTTGTTGACAGAAAATCCTTCCTTTATCTGTCTCTCCCAAGTGGGAGTCCGGAGGCCGCCAGGGCCGGAGCCAGCCCGCGGTGCCAAAGGCACTGCCAAAAAGTGGAAGAGAAGATCCAACTCCCCCCGCTCTGATAAGGAAATCAGTGAAAGCCCATCCTGAAAGACCCCACGTGAAAGCCCAGGAGAAGCCCCTGACCCCCTGGATCCCCCAGGTTCCCGGGAAAGGTCACCCACTGATCCGCAAAGGCCGGCCCGGGGGGCTCCAGCCCACCCCGGCCAATTGCAGCTCTCCCTCTGCAAATCCCTTTCATACCAAGACAGGCAAATCGGCAGAAATAAATCCAGCTAGGAATTCTGCCAAGAGGACAGGGTGTGTGTGGATACAGGGATCTCTGCCTTAGAAACCTTGGCTGGAGGTGGGGGAGAATCCCGGGTAACTGTTTGTTTTTGGGACATCTCCGTGGTCACCCAGGGACCGGGGGGACAGGGCGAGGATGTTCTTCCATGTGAACACGGGATCCATCTGGAGCAGGGACACACAGTGCTGCTTCCAGGTGAGCGCTGAGGTGAGGAGAGGACAGAGCAGGCAGAGCCTCCGGGATCTCCAGTGTGGAGTTGCAGATCCCAGGGGAGCACAGGGGTGGCTTCTGTCCCTCCACCGTGACAGCCACATCCTGTCCCCAAGTTCCTGGGATGTGGTAGCTCCAGCCTCTTGTCCTTGGAATTATGGGAGCGCACTGATGGCCATCCATGTGTCCCTCACTCATCCCTAAGGATCTCTGCCGTAGCCTGCTCCCAACACTTCATCACAAACACATCTCTCCGAGCCCTCACAGTGATCCCATAACATCCCAAAAATCTCCTGCCAAGGATGAGCACTCCAGGAGGGTGGGAATCCTCCCCGTGCTCCGTTACCTCCCTCTTAGACAAAAAAACCTTGGGCTATAAATCACAGAATGCCTTTGGCAAAAACCCACCCCAAAGGCCATCAAGTTTCATCCCAAGTTTTGGCATTGGGATCCACGATCAAAGCAGCAAAAAGGGTCCTTGGCCAATTTTTGTGACTCAGCCTGTCCAAGAAAAGTCCAAGCCCAGCAGGTTTCCCTCACACCTCCAAACTCCAGGAGCTCCTCCATGGTGGAAGAGGAGCCCAAGAACCCTCCAGGAAGGATGAGAAGCCCTCTATAGACAGTAGGATGCTGTGCTTCCCAGTTTTCTGAAGGTGCTGAGGCCCTGGCCCAGGTTGCCCAGGGAAGCTGTGGCTGCCCCATCCCTGGAAGTGTTCCAGACCAGGCTGGATGGGGCTTGGAGTAACCTGGGATAGTGGAAGGTGCCCCTGCCCACCCAAGAGAGTGGAACTGGATGAGCTTTACGGTCCTTCCAACTCAAACCATTCCAGGATTCCTCTGCTTCCCTGAAGTCACCTTGAGGAGGGCGAGATAAGCCTGGTGACGTGAGAGGTGCGTCAGGGCTGCAGGGGAGATGTGGCTGCCCACCAGGAACCAAGGACCTGCCTCTGCTCCAGGACTGTGGGATTTGCACAAATCCAGGGACATCAGGGCAGGGATAAGGAATGTCCCACTGCCCAGAGCTTCCATGCAGCCAGGCTCTTACCAAAGGCAGCTTAGGTGATTAATTAGAAGCTAATGCTGCTCCATAGTCACGAGATGCCATCGGCACCGGCATTCCCTCCCCCTCCCATGCGGGGATTAGTGGGAAGCCACCGAGGAGGGAAGCACAACACCCACACGGGTCTGCATGGGACAGGCTCCCACACCTCATCCCAGCAAGGAAAGATGGAGGAGCCCAGGGAGGCACTGAGCTCATCCATCCCAAACCTGCCAGGCCCCCACATCTCATCCTCCTCCTGTCCCTGGCGTTGCCACCCTGCTTTCCCACCATGTCATCGCTCCACTTCCCAGTCCTTCTCTGGAAAAAGAGCCACGGTGATCCCAAAAAACCCCAACTTCTGCCTGAAGAACAAGAAGTTAAAACCCTCAGCACCCTCCTCGTGAGCGGAGCTGGGCGGGCTGAGGCCCCTGGACGTGTGAGAATGTCAGGAATCCCAATGTTTGGACTGGTTTTCTCTGCCTTCCCCAAACCTCCAAACACGCTCCACATCCCAAAGGAGGTGCTTCCCACCCTGCTGCCTCCTCCCTGCCCCTGCTCCGACCAGCTCATCCCTCCTGGTGGCACCTTCCCAGCTCCTTATCCCAGTTTTGGGTGCTCCCAGAGGTGGGCACGGGGCCATAGGGCTTGGAAAGAGTTAATGGAGTTATCCTCCGTGAACTGTCATATTTACAGGTCTGAGGGATTTAACCCGGAATCTTCCTGGAGTGATAGGCTGAGAAGTTTATGGAATTTCTATTTATAACAGTCTCCCCTCCCTCTTCAATTCCTACTCTGTTGCCTGTCTTCAAATCACCCCTAATCCTGCCTGGGTCACCTGGGGGTGGGAGGAAGGGAGAGAGCTGGAGAACTTCATCCCGGGATGCGCTAACACGAACCAGATGTGGGAAGCTGGAGATGACGACGAGGTCAGCGCTCTGCAGGGGCTGGGGAACATCAGCCAGGGGTGGGGAGGAGGAGAAGGAGGAGGAGAAGAGGCTGTGCCAAGCCCAGAGCTCCCCAGTGCCATTGGAGCCACGTACTGGAGAATTTTCAGAGAAAACTGAGGCATGGAACAGCCTGGGAGGTGATACAATATCCAAAGTGGTGCAGGGTGGAATAGGATGAGGAGAGCCCAGGAGCTTCTGGTTCCATGTGGTCCCTCTCCTGATGGTCCTCCAGCATGTGCTGGAGCAGCAGTGGGATACATGGACGAGGAGGGATTCCTCACAGGGCACGAGGCTCCACCAGGATGCCACAGCAGTGCCAGTGCAGAGAGCCCCGGCACATCCCTGGGCTCATCCCCGTGTCCGTGCACCGGGGCTCGGTTGTGCAATCCTCAAGCCAGGCTGCAGCATCGGCACATTCCCGGGGCCCCGCGCTGCTCCTCACCCCCTTCTCCCTCCTGCCGTGTTTATCCTTCGGCCCGGGGGGATTGGCTGCCGGCCTGGCCGCGAGCACCAGGAATCCGGGCCATGGCAAACAAACCAAACACCGCCTAAGCCCGGGGAGCCGCTCGGCTTCGCAGCTCCTTCCCATCCTGGACGGCTCTGCCACGTAGGGAATGGCATCCCTCCCCTGCCTGCCACCCCACAAACCCAGACACTTGGGCTGCACACCTGGACACAGCTGCTTCCCTAAGGAACAGCGGTGTGATGTCCCCATTGCCTCATGTGCCCATCCCTGGGCTGGTTCCATCTCCTCTGGTGACCCTGGAGGAGCCCCTGGCTCCCCCTGGATCCCAGCCCAGCATTCCTGCTTAATTAATGCTCTTTATTACCTGACTGGGATGATAACCAGCTCCCAAACGGGGCTCCGGAGTGGGACATGGAGGCAGCACTCCCACAGCTCCCCAAAGACCACCCCAGAGCGAGGTCCTGGCTGTCCCAGGCATTTCCAGGGGATCCCAGGCCTTTTCTCTTCATCCCATTACTGTCATCCTTTGTCATCCCTGAGCAGCTTCCCTTGGATTAGGACACCTTTTGTCCCTACACATCCCAACGGGGCCCATGTCCCTCCCCCATCACAAAAGGTGGGACTGTCCCAGGTAAATGCTGAGGTTCATCCACCCCCTGCGTCCCATCCTGGGGACATTCCCTAGCCAGCCCATTCCCAAGGACAGCCTGTCCTTCCAAAGCAAAGGGGCAGCTCCTGCATACCCCCTTCATACCAGAGCAAAAAACACAAAGTCCAAATTCCAACTAATTCCACACCAAAAACACAGCCAAGGAATAGCTCTGGGATCTGTGGGATAAGAGCCCAAGGAAAACACCAAACTGAGGGGTAAGGATTTGGGGGTTTGTGAGAATTTGGTTGTCATGGAATTGAAATGAACTGATCAACAGAGCAATGGATACAAGCTTGGAACAGACACATCCTGCCAAACCTTCTCCATGGAGGGGCCAGGATTGTTCCCAGCCCACCCATACCTGACCCCCTCCTTCCTGGGAATTCTTGGTGAGCTCCCAGCCAACATCCTTGCTCCCAGATCCAACCCCTCTGCATTCCTCCAGAAACTATCCCATGCCAAGCAGGGCAGGATGCAGGGAAAGCAGGGATCCTCCAGGACAGTGGGATTTAGCCAAACCCCCAGACTCAGGGAGAAAAGAGCATTTACAGGGTGTCCAAGATGACTCAGGAGCAACAACATGGGTAACAGTGAGCCAGCTCCAGAGGAAAAACTGGAATAATGACCTGGCCTGGTGAGAAGTACAACCAAATCCATGGCAGGGGTTGGAATGGAATGATCCTTAAGGTTCTTCCCAACCTAAGCCATTCCAGGATTCCCTGAATATCCAGTGTCCAGAGGCAGCAGCATCTCCCTGTTCCCTGGAGAGCTCTCTCTGCTCCTATACAATCCCACAACTCCTTAGCTTACATCCACACG